GTGCTCATTTTTACCTATAGGGGGGGGTGGAAATTTTGGGTATAAAGAATGAAAAAGGGTGATTAAACTTGCCTTTATTTGTCCAATTTTTATTTTCTCCCCAGATTTTAAAGAATAATAATAACCATTGAAAACGTTTGAATAACACATTTTCCTAGTCTTATAATTTTCTTTTGTAAATTTTAGAATTAAGTTTTCATTTTTATTAAGTTTTATTCAATACTTTTTAAAATGGAAAAACGAGGATATCCTCCACATTAATACTTAGATAAAGGTGATAGGGTATTATTGTGAATCAGACATTTAATTTTCTTTGAGGGGTGGGGTCTCTTGAAATTACGTATACAGTCCCTTTAATATAGCCTAATATTTTAGTTATTATAAACGAGGATAACAGAAGTCCCAACGGTCTTGTGGTCACACATCTTCCTGAAGGTCCAACAGCTTACTTCAAGCTCAGGTATAAACTTGGACTTGGACTTGGACTTGGACTTGGACTTGGACTTGGACACTTGGACACTTGGACACTTGGACACTTGGACACTTGGACACTTGGACACTTGGACTTGGACTTGGACTTGGACTTGGACTTGGATTGGACTTGATTGTATATTAGTTGATATATCAGATTTTTTCGATTGATTTCTTGTAGATTGATTGATTGATCGATTGATTGATTGATTGATTGTTTGATTGATTGATTATTCAGTAATGTGAAGATCACGAAGGATCTGCATAAGAACTACAGAGCCATTACTGCACACAGACCTGAAGTTATTCTGAACAATTTCACCACCAGGCTCGGTCACGGGGTCGCCAGGTAGGAGAATATGGATACTATTTTTTTAACATATTAATTTATTTTTAATTTTAACAAATTCTATAAATTGAATTTTATCAGCTGCAAGCATGTTGACATTTTTTTCTAAATCTCCAATTTTCTACATGGATATGGATATTAATTATTCCGTTTTTTGCCTAAGACGGGTGTATATTTTCTTGAGTAATTATTCCCCCTTCCTCTTATATAAATCATACTCCCCCCCCCGTCCCCGGAAGTTAATTTGCGGCGCGGAGGGGGTAATTTTCAAAAATATACACCCCTTGCCTTAGATCAACAATTTTGAAAATATGGAAACAACAGGAAATAGACAGTGTTCTGGGATTTCAAACGCAACTTTTTATATGTTACAGCGATACCCATAAAACCGTAGAAAAGTAAAACATCGTTTAAGTATTGTTACAGAGCTAACAGTTTTATTAGTAACTTAAAAATCAAGATATTCAGTAAAGTGGGTCTGTATACAGTGCACAACTGCTGTGTCTCATGTTCATTGGAATATTTAAAATCAATATTTGAGTCTTAGCAGTCGTCTTCTTATGACATAATTTATGATTCTCACTGTATACTAATTATTTATTATTTAAAACCACTATTCACGGAAGGTAAGGAAATTTGACACAAACCCGTGTTTAATTAAAAAATTTCCCGAAATTTTTATTTTTAATTTTTAATTATCTGCAAAACTCTTTATTTTTAGAATGCTTGCCTCCCTGTTTCACTATGATCCTCAGTTTACTGGTAAAAGAGTTGCAACTTTCCACAATCAACGAGACTACATCTTCTTCAGGTGAGTTGTATCTTTCAAATGTGTTCAACGAGACTACATCTTCTTCAGGTGAGTTGTGTAGACATCTTTCAAATGTGTTCAACGAGACTACATCTTCTTCAGGTGAGTTGTGTAGACATCTTTCAAATATGTTCAACGAGATTACATCATCTTCAGGTGGGTGGGGTGGACATCTTTTTCAAGTGTATTTAACGCCACAACACTACATTTTCTTCAGGTGGAAAGACATCTTTTCAAATGTCTAATTAACTTTTTAACCTTTTTTTGTAAGTCTTTTATTTATTCCTTTGAAATGCTATGAAAAGTTGCATTTAATTATCATGACTGGGTCGCCTTTAATTTGTCGTACGCTAAGGGCTTAATGTTACCTCCTGAACTAAATTTTTGTAGCCCTGAACACGAAAATTTTAGAATTACAGGGCATTTGTTTTTAGCCATAGTATTTAACAAGTAACTGACAAAATCATCATTAATTTTAGCGCGTGAGCTTGTAACCTTTGTATCAAAGCTTTATAAGTTATTTGTACCAAAATCATAATTAACCTTATTAATTTTTAGGCACCATAAGTATGATATCAAGAGTCAGGAGAAGGTTCGTCTAAAGGAACTTGGACCCAGATTCACTCTTAAACTTAGGAATACATTCTCATACTAGCTAAATTGCCCGGCGCAGCCCAGGTTGCTTATAGTTACACCCGTCGATTACCCGCACTCGGTCGATTAAACCGGGAAACTAAATATTCGCTTTAAAAGTCGATTCACTCAACTTGACTCTCAAAACCAAGATAAAAATATTCCTGTGGTTCCCTTAAGTTTCCATATCAAAATTGAGACAAACAAACAAACAGAGATTACTACTTTTTACGAGAATATATACTTGATTGTTATTTTAATTGAATTGATTTAATATTGACTATTGCAGTATTTATGGATTTGATTTGAATTATTTAATCTATTTTTTGATTATCGGCACTTAGTTTATCAATTTCATTTGGTGACATAAAGTTTGCTTTTTTTTTATTGTCTTGTTTTTGTTGTTGATATGTGGGCAGATTATTTACTGATGCACTGGCAGATTATTTACTGATGTACTGGCTGATTTACTGATGTACTGGCAGATTATTTACTGATGTACTGGCTGATTATTTACTGATGTACTGGCTGATTATTTACTGATGTACTGGCAGATTATTTACTGATTTACTGGCTGATTATCATTATTTACTGATGTCCGGGCAGATTGTTTACTGATGTACTGGGTGATTATTTACTGATGTACTGGCAGATTATTTACTGATGTACTGGCTGATTATTTACTGATGTACTGGCTGATTATTTACTGATTTACTTGCTGATGTACTGGCTGATTATTTACTGATGTACTGGCTGATTATTTACTGATGTGCGGGCAGATTATTTACTGATGTACTGGCAGATTATTTACTGATGTTAAGACACAGGAACACTCGGACTCCGTTGAGATCGAAGTCTTGTATACGTAGAGAACTCAAACCAAGCGTCCAAAGACACAGGAACACTCGGACTCTGTTGAGATCGGAGTCTTGTTTGTAGAGAACTCAACCAAGCGTCCAAAGACACAGGAGCACTCGGACTCCGTTGAGACTGGAGTCTTGTATACGTAGAGAACTCATGACCTACCCAAGGCACAGGGTGTCAAGATTAGTAGGTGAGAGGAGAGTAGAGCATCTTCATCCCAGAGACCAAGGATGCAGATAGGTTTAGCTCCGCGAGTCAGCGGAGAGGTTAAAGGTCTAGATCAACAGGAACTCAAGGCCAGCCTAGCATAAGAGTTGTTGAAGTGGTTGTGAGAATTCAGGATAATTTTTAAGCTCAACTTTTAATGTTCATAATTAATCACCTGGTTCAGTGCGTGGAGGCATGCACGGAACTTTTGAGGGAAGAATTACAATTATCACAACAAATATATATATATTATATAAACCATCCGTTAGAAAAGAATCAAGCAATATGGAGTAAAAGTTTCCATGTGAATATTTATCACGGATGATTTATAAACCTGGAGAAAGAGGACGAAAATAAGTTAGAAAAGTACAACTAACCCATCTTGGTCTGAAAGACAAGACCAATAAATAAAACTAAAGTGGCTAGACTTTTAAGCATTTATAAAACTTATTGACAGTTCTATTTAAAGATATGTATGATATTAGAGAATTAGATTCAATTTCAAGAATATAAAATAGGCTTTAGAAAAGGTTTACATAAAAATCTTAGATTGGTAGTTTGAATGGTAAGATAAATAATGGTAGATTCAATGTATTTGTAGAGATTTGTAGGATTAGTTGCTTGAAGATAGGGGTTCTCCGTAGGACGAGCTGGAGAACTTCTTGACTTTGAACACCCTGAACACACATTAGTTTATAAAGATCCACAGATTTTACAAAATGTACGATTGATGGTTCATTTGATCGCATCACTTGATTAGAAAACTGATCGCATCAATTAATTGAGAATATATGCTCCCTAGATCTCTGCAGAAGGGCACCTTCGACAGCAAGGAGGGTGACTACGAATGGATCATCACCGACAAGCGTCACGAGATGGAGACGAGTCGAAAAAAATTCTTTCTTTAATTTCAGAAAAGAAAATGGTGGCTCATTGGTTGCCGGTCTTGATGTTTACATTGATATGGGGTCTTGTGGGAGGAGTGGCGCCTAAGTTTGTGCCCCGGGGTCCACACCAGTCACTTATACAGGTAGAATTATCTCTTATTGGAAGAAGGGGGTGGCGCCTAAGTTTGTACCCCAGGGTTCACACAATTCAATTATACAGGTAAAATTATCTCATAGTGATGGCGCCTAAGTTTGTACCTCAGGATCCCCACCTGTCACCTACATAGGTTAAATTATCTCCATGGGGGGGGGGGGAAGCTAAGTTTTACTTTTTTGGTGGGATGTCACGTTTCTTCACTTCGGATAATTAAGTAAAATAAAACCCCCCTAGCTCAAAATTTCCCATAAAGTAGAAGTACTGTTAACATGAAAACATTTTAATGTAACTTTATGTATTATTTATCTTTAGCTCACTTGAGCTAAAACCTTCCTGAGATAATGAAGAAAAGGATAGTTCTGGGCCTTTTTTGTAGGTCATGACAGGTCAAAAAAAAATATAATAGTTACTATGTTTGTTTAGATGTCTTTGCTGCTGACAGGTATTTGCTGCTGGTTGTTCTGGTTATGCTGCTACATGTCACAGATGAATCCGTTAATAGGTAGGGTTAGGGGTACTGGGTACTCATGGACATCGTATAGGTAAGGTCAGGGGTACTGGGTACCCATGGACATCTCTGGCCAGAGATTTCAACCAAATCGATTTTTCAAACGATTGATAAGATCGTTTTGATGAATCGTTTTGAAAATTCGCTTTAGTAAATATCTTTTGTCGGAGAAAATTTTTGCATAACTTTTTTTGGGGGGTTTTATTTGCTGAATTGGGTAAAATAAATGATATTTTAGAAAAGATAAAATTAACTTTTATGTTAAAACTTTAAAGTATCAAAAAGAATGAAATTAGGCCAATTTAAAATATTTTCCCAGTAAATGAGCAAAAATAATTTTTCCCTCCACATGGGGGGGGGGGGGATTCTGAAAATATATAACCCTGTAATAAATTGATATTGAATTTTCCTATAATTTATCAAATATTTCCAGGTCCGGAGTTAGACATGAAAACGATGATTGCTCTGAAACACTACTGGGGGGATTTCTCATAATCCCTGAACATCTTGATCTTTCCCGCATTTTTTACAAGATGCATTCATTCCCAATTTTAACTAAAAGCAAACATATTCCCAACTTAAATTCCCAATCTTCTATTTGAACCTTTCGCCAACAATACATAGATCTTCTACCAGCAACCTTTGATATTTCGTAGTTTTGCCATGTTTATAAATTTATATATTTTTATAAAAATATTTTTTTTAAAACTACTTACCCTTACAAAATCAAAATTTATTGATATGCATATATTTATATTTTTGATAAAAATTTTAATTTTGTTTTCGTGCACAATGCACTAATGTTGTGTCTGCAATCTTACCTGAATTTAATCCAAATGTATATATATCAAACACCTTCCCTGTGATAAAGTTTTGCCTTGAAAATTTTAATAATTTATTACAGAAAATGAGGACTTCACTTATCCGTACTGGACTCGGCTTCGGCCATCTTGGAGTCAAGGTACTTTTAAACCGGTGTCCTGTATCAGTTCTTCTTCTCCTAAAGTTTTGACGATTTCAATTCATACGTAGTTAAACCTTATCTATTGTAGTCCGGTTCAAATTGTAATGAAGTGGTTCAAATTAGTGTACGTAACTGTCGTAGCATAAAGAGATTGTTGCGTAATTTCAAGTGACCCTTCATCCAAAGATGTCAATGCCCGATTTACAACGGTAGCCTTTAATTTTCATTTGCAGTTTCTCAGCGAAAGTGACTTGAACATTTGTTTGATAAGAAGCAATGGAGAAACTCGCAGAATTAAACACTTTTTGTGTCAGAAAAATCATATTTAAGATCGGATTAACGTTTCAAGGATATCGTTGTAAATAAGGCATTTCCATCTTTGCATGAACGGTCACTTTAATTTGCGTTTACAGTCCCTTTAAGCTACATCTTGAATCGGGTCATAGGATTTTCATTTTACAAAATGTTTTATGTTTCTTTAATTCTTATTTCTGTTTAATCTAGGTCCGTGGAACCACCAAGTACCATCTATCTCCTATGGAGCAGAGAGCATTCGCAGGAGCTATTTCATCCGGGGTTCCGAACACATTGTGGAGAATCAGGTATATCTAGGGTTCCAAACACATTGTGGAGAATCAGGTATATCTAGGGTTCCAAACACATTGTAGAGAATCAGGTATATCTAGGGTTCCAAACACATTGTAGAGAATTAGGTATATCCAAGGTTCCAAACACATTATGGAGAATTAGGTATATCTAGGGTTCCAAACACATTTTTTACATTCCCCTTAGAACCATCTTTATTCCTAATTCAGTGATAAAAACTTTTTTAAGAAGGAGGGGGGTGGGGGGGGGGGCGGAGTGGGATTTTTATCGAAAAAATAACCCTTTAGTTTGTACGCTCTAAAGTAACCTTTGTAAATTTTTCAGGAGATCCATTCTGACAGTAGTTCCTCCTTTTATTATCGCCTATCTCATCTACGACGCATCTGAGAAGGAAAACCATGCTTTTTCAAATTTTCTTTCTGTGAATTTTTTTTCTTCTTCGCCCAGTCGCCCACACTTGCAATTAGTTTAGTTTGAAAGCAAAAATGCATGAATTTAATGTTTCATTGAAAATAATAAAATAATTTTTTCCCCATTAAATAATTTTTACTTTCGCCCAGATTCAATTACTTATCTATGAATAAATGAATATTTATTTGATTTTTCTTTTTAAAAACTTAATTTTACCAAAAAAAAATAAAGTGGTGTTTTTTTATGAAACTTGTTCACGACAAAAATAAGCATTGTTGCCAAGGAACATGACCGTCTGCAGCGTAAACAGCCGGGACAGTTCGACCATGAAGTTTAAACAATAACATTGCAGTACACATTGTTTACAGTAGACCACGAAGTGTAAATAACAATGCAGTACACATTGTTTACATTTTAGCCCGTATAGTAGTAGTAATTTTCAGTAATGTATTACACATATATTTATAATAACCAGCTCTATATGATATTTATTTGTTCAAATATTATCGGTAAACGATGCCATGGATCCATTTATAGTTAGCTCTGATAATTCTTGATAATTTGCAGAAGAATGAAGGCTAAAGGTACCTTGAAGGAGTATACTGTTATTGGGAGAAAACTCCCAACAGAAGCGGAGCCGGTCACTCCCCTCTACAGGTAAATTCATCATTACCCCCACCCCACCACTTCCTGTCCCTCCCACTTTCTCCCTCCCTGCCGGCTCACCTCCAGGCTCCATTTCCGATCCCATAGATTCCCCCATAACCATCTTGATGGTTCGGACGTTGTGCATTTCTCACCTAATTTTCAATTAGGTCTTCACGCCAAATGCCGGACGCATGCTCAGTCATCATACCCATTTCTCACGCGCTTTTTTCTGTAAATATCCACAGTTCATTTATACTCTAGGAACGAGGAAAGCAAAGAGGAAACTGAAAAAATAAATCACAATATTAATCAGTTCCATATGATTTAAAAGTTTTAAATCAATATCATCAACTAATCATTATTTTACAATCAATCAATCACACGAATATATTAAATGAGTGCTTACATTTGGTGCATCGACTGAGTGGGTGGAGCACCGTCCACGTAGGTATATTTCTTGACGAGAATGTTTATTTAACCAGATCCCCTTATCTCCGAAGGTTCACTACTTAAATAGTTAAGGTCTGGGAAACAACATTCTCCAGATAATTTAGGAATCCGCACTGGGCTGGGAACAACGTTCTCCAGAGAGTTAAGGAATCCGCTCAGGGCTGGGAAACAACGTTCTCCAGATAGTTTAGGCATCCGCTCAGGGATGAGAAACAACGTTCTCTAGTCAATCTTTAGTGAAGTCTTCCGATCTCACAGAAACCAGTCATATTGTTTATATAGATAAGTTTAAAATCTTTTCTTTTTGCTTCAATTCACATATAAAATTGTAAGTTATAGAATAAACAGAGTAAATATGCATATAAAAGCAGGGTTGAATATAGGCTAAATATTATGAAAGTTAATAGAAGTACTTCATATCTTCATATGGTTGATCTGGTGATTATGCTTGAATTCAGTCCAGTCTTGAGTTCTCGGTAGGTTTCCTACTTATTATTTAACAGTTTAATGGGTCCCGCTGTATTAGCACTTAAACCAGGGAAACAATATAAACATGTTTTATTTTTCCTCCATTTCACTTTTCAGCTCAGCAAGATTATTCTCCATTGATCTAATTTGTTCTCGTTGCTTCTCTAGAATACCCTAAACAATAATAATTTGTGAGCAGCTGTTATTCAGCTGTAGCTGATAATCAGCTATTACTTAGCTGTTGATCAGATACTGATCAGCTGCAGCCGTTAATAAGCTATTACTCAGCTGTTGATCAGATGTTGATTAGCTGTAGCTGTTAATCAGCTATTACTCAGCTGTTGATCAGCTGTTTATCAGCTGTTTATCAGCTGTTTATCAGTTGTTTATCAGCTGTTTATCAGCTATGGATCAGTTGTTGATCCGATGTTAATCAGGCATCAATTAACAGTTATTCAACTGTTCATCAGCTGTTGATTGTTGTTGATAATTTGTTGATCATCTGTTGATTAACTATTGATCAACTGTTCATCAATTGTTTATTAACTATTGATCAGCTGTTGTTCAGCTGTAAATCATCTGTTTATCAGCTGTTGATCAACTGTTTATCATCTGTTTATCAGCTTTTGATCACATGTTAATCAGCCGTTAATTAGCTGTTGATCAGAAGATGATCACTGTTGATCAACTATTGATCAACTGCTGATCAGGTGTTTCTATCAGCGTTGATCAGCTGTTGATTAGCTGTGGATCAGCTATGGATTAGCTGTTGATCAGCGTTTGAACAGCTGAAAATCAGCCGTTAATCAGTTGTTTCTAATGTTACTCTAGAATACCCTTGACAAATGATATGTTGTCAATATTTTTAAAAGTTGTGCATTGGCCACTACGACATTAGCTTTATAGCCATATAATGATTTTATATTTGCTCAGTTGCTATGTTTTCTAAACCAAATTGACATTTTTTTCTATACCGAATTGACATTTTTCTATACCAAATTGACATTCATTCTAGTTCTTTCCTAAACAGGGCTTAAATATAGCTTTTACAGACGTATGGTTTAAACTGATTGATGGCGTACGAAAATTTCCATTACATCTGGTTTAAATGTTGAAATCGTTAGATTTAGGGGGAAAGCCTCCCCCCCCCCCTCCCTTTAAATCATTTTTTCTTATGACGTATTAGGATGGCTCAGGAACGATAACAGAGATTGTAAACAATAGATAGAATTTTGCTGGGCAGAGAACAGGTTCTTTAAATTCATTGTTCAGCATTTACTGCATTTGTTGGCCTCTTATTAACTTCGGAAAAGCACAATCGTCCTCATTTGTTATTCAAAGAGAGGTTTATAAGCTATTCTTGCAAATCGGGCAATTAACTCTCCAAGTGGACATCCCATCCCATTAAATTTTAATAACGCCAACAGTCCCTTTAACCTAATATGTTCATCTGTTAGGATGCGTATCTTCGCTACCGACCCTGTTGTTGCAAGATCTCGGTTCTGGTATTTCCTCCGTCAGCTCAGGAAGTTCAAGAAGACCACCGGGGAGATCGTCAGCGTAGAGGAGATCAGGGAGAAGAATCCTCTCAAGATCAAGGTTAATTATAATGTTATCAGCTAGCTTGGAAACCCATCGTTGCCCAGGGTACTTAAAGTTACTCCCACTATTTACCCGCTCATGGTCACGATTTTAGCTCTTTTTCCCAACTGAAAATTTCAATTTCAAAGCGCGAGTTCCCCAATCAAAATTTAAGGCAATTTGGTCCAGGGGTTCATGAGTTCTGATCGGACATACAAACATTACTAATTTACATAATTGCAACATGACTAAGATTTCTATCTAGAATTTTGGAATCTGGCTGCGATATGATTCCAGATCTGGGACCCACAACATGTACAGGGAGTACAGGGACCTCACCGTCAACGGGGCCATCACTCAGGTAGAAGGGGAAAGGAGGAAAGGGATGTGAGGTGAAGAAAGGGCCGGGGGAGGAATGTATTGGTTCGTTAATGATGTAAATTTATTTTATATTATTTTACACTAACTGAAGTGCCTGGCTTTGCTAGTGAAATTTTGATATTAAACATTTAAAAAAAAGTTTGAATTTTGGAGAAAATAATTTAACCTTTAAAGAAAATTTTTACTTTAATGTTATCCCCATTCCCCAGAAAAAAATGAATGTTAAAAGAAAATTTTTACTATAATGTTATCCACATTCCCCAGGGTAACCAATAACCATGGGTTCCCTCAAAAAATTTCAGCCAATTTGGTTAAGCCGTTTCGCCAGCTATAGTTAGCACATGTTATATTTATATATATTATATATATATCACTCAAAGAAAATCTGGGATTTCAATTGGTATTTAAATTATTTTTATCAAATCAGGCAAGTTTTTATCCATTAAAATGTGTAAATAATTTTGCGGTTTTATGCTCCATCGACCAACAAAAAATAAACCTATATTTATCTTTGTTTAGTGTTATCGTGACATGGGCGCCAGGCATAGAGCCAGGGCTCACGCTATCCAGATTATTAGGTAATTATATACTGCATACAGTGGGACCAGTGAAAGACGACTTTCAGTGTGGATTTTAAACACTAAAATGAATATAAAACACCGTGCAATGTACGTCTGTTCACTGTTCAGCTTATTTTAAGGCTACCACTGGTAAAACTATTTGCTTTATAACAAAGTATCATCATAAGATTGCTTTTATGAAAATACTCATAAATTCATTCCGTTATTTTTTTATTTTTATTATTTTCTTTCAGCTTTTCTATGCATACTGCATAGTGCTATATAAAAATATGAAATTTTTTATACCATTTACCGAGAAAAAATGTTCATAAATACGAATATCTTTAATATTTGAGTTAAAAAGTTGATCGCTTTTTGAAAGGTTAAGTTTAGTTTTTTTGAATCAAAATGCCAGTAATGTTCCAGTTAAACTGTTCTGTTGTGCATTTTATACCAAAAATAGATTTGAATAATAAAAAGTTTGATGAAATCCTCCCGACACCATAGACATACTATTGGTCCTTATTGAATCTTAGTTTCTTAGTCAACGTAACTGCGTTTTCACTTTTGACAGCCAATTACTTAAAACATTTATGCGTATTTTTGTTTCAAAGAAATTTTTATTGTTATGAAATCGGGAAGAACTATGTTATTCTCATTTTGTTAATACCAATCCAATAAAAAAAATCTAATTTATCTTGGGGGGGGGGGGGGTAATAAATTATCAGAGAAACCTTGCATTGTGATAATTCAAGGGTAAATAATTTCAACTCTTTCAAGCATTACTTTTTGATGATCTTGGGAAAAATTGGACATCAAAATGCCAGCCTTGTTAATACTTTTTAGGTGTGAACCTGTTGCCGCTGGTAAATGTCGTCGTCCTCTGGTTACACAGACACACGACTCTAAGATCAAGTTCCCTCTTCCCCGCAGGTAAATTAAGGGAAAATTGAAAAACTTGTCTGTTAGACAATCTTAAAGGAATTGTAAGCGTAAACGGTCACTTAGATTAGTGTCTTGTGAGTCGTAGAAGCAGAGAAGTCGGTCGAAAGAATTATTTTTGCAGCTTGCTAATAATTAATTTTGTGATTATTATTACAGGGTTCAGAAGCAAGGAGGAGCTATGGTACAGGCAAACCGACCATCCACGTACTTCCAGTAGATTCATATACCTGGAGCAAATCATTTAACTTGGACTAACATCTTGGAGCAAAATCCACCAACATCTTGGAGCAAAATCCACCAACATCTTGGAGCAAAATCTACCAACATCTTGGAGAAAAATCCACCAACACCTTGGAGCAAAATCAACCAACATCTTGGAGAAAAAGCAACCTTCATCTTTGAGCATAAACCGCCAACCATTTCTTGTTTTGTTCACTAGAGCAAGTTTTATTGTTATTTCTAAGTATATGATGAATGTTCTTTGTACGCCCTGTACCCTTCAAGTTTTCCTTTTACAGATAAAAATTTAAAATTTAAAAATGGCGAAACAGTTGATACAGATAATAATAGCAGGAACACAGGTAGTTATATCTTTCTTTAGTCAGAAAATAGTTTTCGATGTTTTTTCCGTGGTCGAAGCCTGATCTCGGTATCCAATTTGGGCACCTGTAAAATGAAAGACCAATGCTTAATTAATCCCACAATTAAAGTTATCCAATATCCATGCGATGTATGATCACAACGGGATAAATTAATCCTCAGTTCTGCATAATGTTTTTCAACACAAAGTTCTAATAATTTGATAATTTACCTAGTACATAAATGTGACAATTTGGTAAGTACCGAAATGATAGTAAAACATATTGTACACATATAAGATAGTAAATTACCCCCTACAGTTAAAGTTCACATCTACAGTAGTTAAAGTATTTAAACAGATAAAACCTTACACCTGAACAAAATGTTGAAAACCAATTTATTTCTTCTTGATCTAAAATGGGATATCTTCCGAATAGTAAAATGAAGGGTTAAAGGTATCTTTGTGAATAGGACATGCAACTCTTCAAATTGTAGGTTTTTGGAATACCGTCGACTTTCCCTTTAAGTGTGAATTAAAAATGTTCTTTTCTGAATTCGTTGTGTATGTTTTTAATACATTTGATTTGCCCTTTATTTTCTTAATTTTTAAAGTTAATTGAAGAAGATTAAAAAGTAAGATATAAAAAGAATAAATATGCGTGAAATGTTAAATGTTAACGGCCGGTAGAATTTTACTAGAAAAAAAATTATTTGATGATTCTAAAGTGTTCACACAAAAATTTCAAGTTAAAATAAATATCCCATAGGTTCTAACAACAAGGGGTGTTTCTAAAAATACGTTGCGCCATTTTAACGCCTTCAGTACTTAAGTTAAATATAAGAGGTATAAAAAAGGATTTCTTTACTTTGATTTGAGAATTCTTGAAATAGTTTTTTCTGTTCCATAGCTTGCTTGGAATTGGAGATATGACTGTTAGCATGGCAAATTTTTCATAAAAATATTATTTCAATCAATTAATCAATATTGCTTGAGAAGGTAAGTTTTCTGATTTTGGTGAAATAGCAAGGGAGTTACCTGGGACCACCTAGAAGCACCCCCCGTTCACCGTTGTCAGAATCTATGGTATAATTATTTTAACTTAAAATTTTTGCAGCCTGGTATGAGTTAAAACGACTGAAAAATTAATTTCAAAGTGACATAGATGGCAATTCACAACGGTACCCAAATCAAGTATGAATTAAATATTAATGTTTATAATTCGGAAACCTGATCAGTTTCATTTGTGGCTTCTCTAAAAAAGTGACTTCCGTATTTAAACTGTAGGAATAAAGGCATCAAGGGTACCGTTGGGATTCGGGCATTGCTATCTTTGCATGGAGGGTCACGTGAAAGTTCGGTTTCTTTGTCAAGGTGTTCGGGAAAGCATTCGCCAACGCTGTTAAACAAGAAATAAGGATGTCCGAAGAAGCTGCTAAACGGCATGCACAGAATAAAGGGAGTAATACTGCACATGCGGCGGAAACAGCTAGGTGGGTATTTTAATAACATAACGAAACAACTAGGTGGGTATTTTATTACATAAAGAAACAACTAGGTGGGTTTTTTATAACATATGGAAATAGCTAGGTGGGTATTTTATAACATAAAGAAACAACTAGGTGGGTATTTTTATAACATATGGAAATAGCTAGGTGGGTATTTTATAACATAAGGAAATAGCTAGGTGGGTATTTTATAACATAAGGAAACAGCTAGGTGGGTATTTTATAACATAAGGAAACAGCTAGGTGGGTATTTTAATAACATAAGGAAACAACTAGGCGGGTATTTTATAACATAAGGAAACAGCTAGGTGGGTATTTTATAACATAAGGAAACAGCTAGATGGGTATTTTATAACATATAGAAACAACTAGGAGGGTATTTTATAACATAAGGAAACAGCTAGGTGGGTATTATAACATAAGGAAACAGTTAGGTGGGTATTTAATAACACAGGGAAAAACTCCTTTTCTGCCCGAGTGATAAATAAACCCATGGAACTTTTTGCAAAAAGTCGAAATCCTTCAACGTATTTAAGAATAATAATGACGAACGTGTTAAAATGTCGAGAATATGTAGTTGAAGAAAAAACAGACAGAGATTACTACCTAACTTAGATATAAAGACATATTTGGATGTAATATTAATAACGTTACTAATTGATGGGGCTGCGAAGCTAGTTGAAAGATAGTTCGATTAACTTATTAATTTGTTGGTTGGTTAGTTGATATATTGATTGATTGATTGAGCGATTTATTGATTAATTGAGCGATTGATTGATTTATTTATTACAGGGTCCTGATTCTGCTGCCGGCTAAAAATGAAAAGAAACCCAATTTAGACCATTTTAGATAGATAGATAAACCGAGGAAAACAGTTTTTAGATTAATTTTCAAGTTTTTGTTAGATATGACGATATTTTTTTTTATCTAAATATGACAGATTATTGAGGGGGGGGGGGCAATATAAAGGGCGGGTTAATTTAATGTACTGTGTCGTTTCTCCTGGTATGTTCTGTATGTGTACTGTACAGATTGCTCTAGCTGGATTGATGTCGGCCCGGTTCATCAGCTCGCTCTAGCTGGATTGATGTCGGCCCGGTTCATCAGCTCGCTCTAGCTGGATTGATGTCGGCCCGGTTCATCAGCTCGCTCTAGCTGGATTGTTGTGGGAACTCGTACCTGCAGCGATGTCAAAAATCATTATATTAGAACTGAAACAAATCCGTTCCATAAATTCAAGTGTTTGTTTATGTTTAAAGAATCTTGCGCTTTGCCGCGTAGCATAATCAGAGTTCGCTGCAGGTACGAGTTCTCTCCAGGCATCACACCGGACTTAAACAGTGAGGAGGGGACTGAAACCTTCCCTACCCCCCTCCACCTGAGAAATTCATTTTATTATAGTTAAAAAACTGTTCGTGTTCAGATATTCATTCAGATTGTATTTATTCCTGTTAAGAGACCTTCCGAGCTAACTACCCGCCTTGCTCATCTCACACTTCAACCGTACATAATTTTGCATTGTACGAAACTCTGTGTTCATAACAGATTCATGTGTTGTACGTTAACAACTGTCTATACATTACCAGTCAATTATATGTGTGATGAAACCTAAATTATTCAATAATATTATTGTTTAGGCCGTACACATTCTTTGTATGTTCATGTACATCATACATGAGCTTGTTGTACAAAAATAAACTGATAAATTGCCTGAAATCCAGTTGTACATTTACCATAGTTATAAATATTACAGATGCAATGGAGAATGGAAAATCCCAGTCTCAAATCCTTGATCAGAAACCACAGTCTCAAATCCTTGATCAGAAACCACAGTCCCAAATCATTGATCAGAAACCCCGGTCCAAAATCCTCGACCAGAAACCACAGTCACAGATTTTTGACCAAAATTTCTATATTAGTAACGATTCCAAAAACAACAATGGACCTTCCTTAGATAGTCCATCAAGCAATAATAAAGGACAAAACAAAAATAATCTAATAAATAATACAAACCACAGACATTGTTTCACCTCCAATGGACATAGTTATAGTTCTAAATCTTACAATGGTATGCAGTCAATCAAAAGACGTCCTGAAAGACAGTCCAGTTTAGATGAACGTTACCTGGTGACGACGGACCTGGACTTCAAACAGAAAAAGGAATTAAAAACAATTAATAGGTAATAAACATTTAAGATTCCAAATTAGTAATTCAATCACATAAATTTGATTTATTTAGAATATTGGTTGACTGATTTTCGTTAAAGTTATTAACATAATGATTTTGGTACAAATGTCTATCAACATATGTCATGAGATTGGAACTTTTGTTTGAGGAACTCTGGAAATCAGAGCCCGCGATTTAGAAAATTCGGGAAAATACGGCTCGGATCTAAGCTGTCGTTGGGCCTTTTTCACCGCTTGAGCTTTCGGATTCAAGCTGCTCGTTTTACATTCTATTTGGCGGATTTTTATGGTAGGATTTGGCGCATTCCGAGTTTTTATGAGAACAAGACTCAATATTGAGGCTTATTGTCCACTAAAACCAACCCAGGTCGGTTTTATTTTCATTGGGCCTAACTCCTTAAGTCGAGCCTAAGATCTTGCATGTTGCAGCTGTCAATCACGTGGCACAAGCTGTCGTCAGAGTTGGGTCGAAGATTGGGTTTAAGAAATTACGATTTGAGCCGAAGTTTTTAAATCGCGGAACTTGAAGCGACTGAGCTCATAATCCATTCGAAATAAAGATGAAAATATCATGATCTCTTATTGACCTAGAGCCGATTTTTTAATGCTTTTTTCGGGCTTTTGTTTTTAGCATATTTGTATAGACATCCGAGAGGAATTAACTTAACCCTCCAGTAAAAAATGACTTTAAAGTTCCGAACCTTGACTTCTTCCAGTGATAAATGACTTTAAAGTTCCGAACGTTGACTTAAATGCATCCATGTAAGCGATGTTTTACTTCATCGTAATGCATATTGTGTTAAATGTGTTCAATGGAACGTAAATATTAAAAATTATTTATTTTGCTAAAATTCTCTTTTTTCTCAAAAATATATTGATTTTTAGACTGAAGGTTGGGGGTCAACAAAAACTTCTCAGAAAATGCGCAACAGGAATTTTTAAAAATCCACTAAATATTTGGAAACCTTTCTCTATTAGATTTATCCATTATCCATTATCCAAAATAAAAATAATTGTTTTAAAACTAGCTTTTTAAATAGGAAAACTAAAGAACGTAAAAGGTTTTTTAATAATCCTTCTTCCAGTTTAAATTAAAAATATATATTTTGTAAATGAAGAAATGAAGATGCACGTTCGTTTTATTAATATAGGACTCGAAAATAGGACTTTGTCGATAAGATACATTTTTTATCACAATGATGTGATTGTTTAAATTTATGGAAGTTAGATGAAAATTCGTTGGTTTCTCGTTCAAGGAATACCCTGGACACGTCTAAACTTTCAATAGGTAACATACACTTTAAGAAATAGCATGTTTTCCCTTTGAGTAATAATGCCCCCCATGATCATTATTTTTTTCGCTATTGATTTAAACTCTCTAACTGCCTGAGAGAAATGTTATAATAATAATTATTTACAACTACTTTACAGGGAAGTCGAGAGATTTTTATTTTACCCAAGGGTTCCCTTGACCAATTAGACAAAATTGGTCAAGGGATCCCGTGGTTAAGTAAACTTTTATTTTCACGTTAGATCTAAACTATGTCAGGCTGAAAAGCCTTGATCTAGAAGGGGCCCAATGGACATACCTAGCTTCTTGAATTGAGTTGAACTAATACTGAAAACGTATCCATCCCCAAAATAGAAGTTTAGAACGTCGAATTTGCGCTCAAACTCAGGATTTACAGATCTTTAATAAGTTTAATATGTCTCAAATGAATCCGAAAGAAGTTTTCCACAGCACTGCATACTCAGTTCAACTACCTTACTGGAATTATTAGAGGGGTGGATATTTGGTATCTCATAAAAAATTTTAGGGTTTCAATAGGTGAGAAAGAAGCTTTAAAAATATTTATTTTAGATTCTTATCACAATTCAGCTATTAAAACTTGTAAAATTGTCCTCTCCATGGAATCATCTATATATAAATTTGGCTTGTCTGTCTGTCTGTTTGTTTGTTTGTTTGTATCCAATAAACGTCAAAACGGCTGAACCGATCGGGCCCAAATTTTTTGTGGGACATCTAGGGACTCCAGGGAAGGTTTATGAATCATCAAAATTTCAAATATTTGTCTCCATCAAAATTCGATCATCATTAAATTTTTTAAAATTTTGAAAATCCGCGAAATTTTTTGTGAAAATCCGCGAATTATTTTTGTTTTGTTTTACGATGTACACAAAGAGAACATGTTCACAATTAATTTAGGAGATGGGCGCGAAGCGCCCTCTAAGGCTAGAAAGAAGGGCGCGAAGCGCCTTGAATTTCTAGTGTATTAAAAAATATTAACCCTTTTAATCAACTTTTGTCTTCTATGCTAGGGAAATTTTTTTATGATATTTTGACTTATTTGTCGAATTGGGATATTTAGATATTAAGAGAGAAATATCTTTTTACAAGAGAATGATTTTCATATTTGCCTTCTCGGTAGATTGGTAATATTTATAAAATAGAATATAAGCTAGTATAAACTAGTTTTGTTCAGTTTGTATATTGTAAAATCCATTTCTGTTTTGTTTTTTGTTAGTTTAAATCGGTTTTGTTTAGTATAGTTTTATCTAGTTTTTTTATGTTATAAACTAGTTTTTTAGTTTGATTATTGTATAAACCAGTTTTGTCTAGTTTGTTAATGTACAAACCGGTTTTTTCTAGTGTATAATCTAGTTTTTCTAGTTTGTTAATGTACAAACCGGTTTTTTCTAGTTTGTTATTGTATAATCTAGTTTTTCTATTGTATAATCTAGTTTTTCTAGTTTGTTAATATACAAACCGGTTTTTTCTAGTTTGTTATTGTAAAATCTAGTTTTTCTAGTTTGTTAATATACAAACCGGTTTTTTTCTAGTTTGCTATTGTATAATCTAGGTTTTCTAGTTTATTGATGTACAAACCGGTTTTTTTCTAGTTTGCTATTGTATAATCTAGTTTTTCTAGTTTATTAATGTACAAACCGGTTTTGTCTAGTCGGTTAACTGTATAAATTAGTCCTGTTATGTTTTTGGATTATAAAAACTGGTTTTGTCTAGTTTGCTAACGGACAAAATAGTTTGCTTGTTAAGTGTATAAACCAGTTTTTTATAGTTTGCTTCTTGTATAAACCAGTTATGTCTGATTTGTTTATGGTATACACCGGTTTTATCTATTTTGATTTTATAAACCGGTTTTGTTAAGTGTTGATATCTCTGGTTGACCAGCTTGCTGCAGCTTATGAACATGATGAACAACGGCGGAAACTGTTCACTAAAGGTAGAGACATTTTTATGAAAGAAAAGGACTGTTCTCGTGCTTCAAAATCTAATTTCTTATATGAATATATTTAGTGTTTCACCAAAGGCGTACACAAGGGGGGGGGGGCTATGAGGGCTCACCCCTTTCCTTAATCAGTTAAATATATGGTTTTCAGTGAGTTTCAGGCCCCTAACCCCACTTGCAGAAAGAAAAAGAAGCCACGTGGACACATTCCTGTGTAAGCCCCTGTGTGTTCACAGATTTTTACTGTTTTAATTATAAATTTCTTTATTCACTGCACAGGGGAAGGGTAGGGGGGCATTTAAAAATAATCTTATTCTTCAGAAGAGGAAATTCTTATTAAATTCTCGGTGAAGAATTTATGACTTCACCCAAAATCTTGAAACTCACTCAATATCCTGTACACCATCCTGTATCCACTATCCTGTATCGACTACCCTGTATCCACTATCCTGTATCCACTATCCTGTATCCACTATCCTGTACCCACTATCCTGTATCCACTATCCTGTATCCACTACCCATCCATGTTTGTTAAGAGATTTGTGAGTCCTTGGTTCAAATGGAGTTGGTGGAGCCAACCTTTCTCCTGGAGGAGATGGAGGGGCTCAGGGCTCAGTACAGTCTAGCATTCTATAGGTCGGTAGAAATCACGCGACTTTAAAGGGTCCCTTCATTCAAAGAGAGGTTTAGTTTTCTAATAACAGCGGTATCGTGTTAATACTTTTATATTCAAGGATAAATGAGAAATCCCTATTTATTTAGCTAAAAATGGACACTTTCGCGGTACTTGCGGATTTATCTTGCAGAGACAAAAAAGGAAATTTTGGATTACCATTGTGAATTGGACATGTCACTTTCTAAATGGAGGCTCATTTGAAATGACGTCTTTAAAACCTTTCAAATATGCGAAATTACAGGCCGGTGTCATACATGGAGCGGACTCTTACATGTCCCATGACCCCTAAAGTTTTAACCATTTTAACACAATGTTAGACATAAAAAGCCATGTTAAAACATTAAAAATTATTTGTTGACATATATTAATTACGCATTTAGTTTATAAATGTATTTTAAAAGGAGTAAAGGCAAAAAGGTTATTTCCTCTTGAATGTTGTCTTCCTTTCAAATCGTCAAACAATTAATAGTTCCTCAAGACATAATTTTTAAGGTTTTTTTTCATATCAGAATACATTCATAAATATCGGGAAATGTTTTAACATTGCTTTTTATGTCTAACATTGTGTTGAAATGGTTAAATAGGAGGAGTCCGTCCCATGCAAGAGTCCGCTCCACGCATGACACCGGATCAATTCCTTCTCATTATATTTAGAAGTAATTCTACATAGCGTAGCGAGCGAATAATTAATCGCCTTTCATTTTTATTTTGTGTGTAATATTATTTTTGGTTTATTTTTGTGTCAGGGCTTAGTACAGCATCTCCTTATATGGGTTGATGACACTTGACAGCATTGCGTGGAATCAAGTTAAAATATCAGTAACGCTTTTGTTCAAGGAACTGTCCACGTAATTTCAAGTAAAATATATTTACACAATTCACAACATTACATTTCCTTAATCTGAGTAAAGCTGAGGAATATATCGTCGAATTTTAACTTGTTAAGAGATAAACTTTGTTAATTTTCTTTCTAGTCGTTGCTGCTTTAAACCGTAAGAAACCACAGGTGAAAAATAGAAAAACAAGAAAATCATATAATATCTGGTCTGATGAAGGTGTTAAGGCTACAGTTGTGGAATGTGAATCGTTTTTTTTTTTAAGAAAGGCGAAGGGAGTGATACTTTCCATTTCAGGATAGTCTCAGACGATTTTAGACTTCTTAATATTTGTTAGGTTAGTTGGTATGGCTAGAGCAGGTTTACCAGCAGCTAGGACTACTAGACTACCTGCCCTACCTGGACCAGATCATTATCTAGGTATCTTATGTCAGGCAGTTTTTGTTCTTCATTAAAATATTAAATCCCTGTCAGTAAAAAAGGTAGCCTGTACATTTCTGATCTTATGTAGTCGGTCGTTTTTAGTGTTTTCACAATAAAGTTCCTTTGATGTTTACATGTTTATTGTTTAAAGATTGTTAAATGTTTTTAAATTGAATACAGTCGAGAAAGGTTTGTTTCCTAGCAACAATTACAGTATGTTTTGATGTGAATAATAAAACGTGAACTACAGTGGTAGGCGATTATATCATTATTTTCTATTAAACAGATGGTTATCATAAACATTGTTGTCAGCCTGTCAATTGGAAAAGCTTCTCTTTGATTACTAGCAAATTTGTTAACAAAGTCGTCTTAAATCTATTGATATAATCGCTTACCACTATGTAAGGACGAATTTAATTCAAGGGTTTAAGTTAATTATTTTAAATATCTTCCAGTGAGCACTCATAAGCCACCTCTTCAATCTAATTATAAGAGATAGAAACTCTTTTATCACGTATGAACTATTTCACCAATTTAGTCATACTGACAGTTTTATAGAGTGAAAGATTTCTGAACTTCTATGAAAGAAGAGAATGAGTTTTAGCTTTTAAATATCACATTTTTTCAGCGATATCCAGCTCAAAACCTGAAAATATCTATCAGTTCTCTAGGTAAGAAACTTGATAAAATAAAATAATCACAAAAATAGTCCATTCCACCCCTTTGTTGGAAATTTTTAATTTTTAATTCAGGAGTGTCACTTTGAATATAAAGTATGGAAGAATGACAACCCTGAAAGTCTGATTTGATTTGATTTGATTTTTATCTTGATCTTGATCTTGATCTTGATCTTGATCTTGATCTTGATCTTGATCTTGATCTTGATCTTGATCTTGATCTTGATCTTGATCTTGATCTTGATCTTGATTTGATTTAATGGTTCTGATCAATAAATTTGTAATAAAAATATTTGTATTTCTAATTTGCTTGATTAATTTTGGCTTTTTTCTCCAAAATGATAAAAGACGAATTCAGGAAAATTCCTTTTATTTAAAAAAAAGTTTTGTTTAAAAAATTTTACTTACTTTTATTTTTATTTATTGTCCTTAACTATATTTTCTAAATTTTCTAAATTCTAAAAACTTCCGCACCATTTTTAACACCCTTTTTTGTTCGTGGATCGATTTTTGAAATGATCTTAAATTATTGAAATATATATTTATATAACCATATACATAATACTAGCCTTATAGGGCGCTTCGCGCCCATCTTCTAAATTAATTGTGAACATGTTCTCTTTGTGTACATCGTAAAACAAAACAAAAATAATTCGCAGATTTTCACAAAAAAATTCGTGGATTTTCAAAATTTTTAAAAATTTAATGAAGATCGAATTTTGATGGAGACACATATTTGAAATTTTGATCATTCATAAACCTTCCCTGTGGTCACGTGATGTCCCATAAAAAATTTGGGCCCGATCGGTTCAGCCGTTTTGACGTTTATTGAATACAAACAAACAGACAGACAAACAAACAAACAAAAAGACAGACAAGCCAAATTTATATATAGATAATCCACCATCAGACCCTTTATTTTCTTCAGATATAAACAAGAGTTTGTGGAAGAAGAACTGATAGGGGGAGGAGGATTCGGCGTAGTTTACAGGTTATTCAGTCAAACTTACGAAAATTAACACCCCCCCCCTTCATCTTCAAGTGAACGATAAACGATAATCGATAAATAGATAACGGTTAAGAAAAAGCGATAAATGGTTTTATAACGGTTTAATAAATAAATAAATAAACAGTTAAGGATTATCAATAAATAGACAACGGTTAAGAATAAGCAATAAATGATTATTTAACGGTTAAGGATAATCGATAAATAGATGACGGTTAAGAATAAGCGATAAATGGTTGTATAATGGTTAAGGATAATCGATAAATAGATAACAATAAACAATAAACAATAAACAATAAACAATAAACAATAAACACTAAACGATTAACGATTAACGATTAACGATTAACGATTGATTAACGATTGATTAACGATTGATTAACGATTGATTAACGATCGACGATCATCGATCAACGATCAACGATCAACGATCAACGATCAACGATCAACGATCAACGATCAACGATCAACGATCAACGATCAACGATCAACGATCAACACTCAACACTCAACACTCAACACTCAACACTCAACACTCAACACTCAACACTCAACGGTCAAAACTCAACAGTCAACGGTCAACGATCAACCGATGATTCATTAATGACGAATGACTGATTTGATGACTGACAAATGACAAATTTTAAGTATTAAATGATAAAAATGCAGGGCTAAGAATAAGCTAGATCATGGTGTCTATGCTGTTAAGAAGGTATTTGTGAAGATCTGCAAGGAAAGCACAATCCTCAAAATCCTACGAGAGGTCACAGTACTAGCGAAGGTAAACCATTAAAGAACACTCTTATATCTTAGTCTACATAAGAAACCCTCCACTCTTCATTTATGTCCATATTCGATATAAAGAATATCAAAATCCTCTGGTTAAAGATAAAAAATGAAATTAATTATGTTCAATTGCAGTTTCTATAAAAGTGATTTAAACGTCTTTTTCTGACTCGGAAAAGTGTTTATTTCTGTGAGTTTCTCCGTTGCTTTTTATAAACAAGGAATGCGCAAAAAAAACTTACGCAGAGAAACCGCAAATGAAAATAAACAGTTTGATATCTAATTCATACTTGATCAAATAAAGCTTTCAAGTTTACCGTGTAAATCGGGCATTGCCATCCTTACATCTAGAGTTACTTGAAATTACGCCGACAGTCCCTTAAACTTTACAACTATTTAATTATTTATATTTTTATGTATTCAAACATAACTGAAACTAGTTGTTTTATTTGATAAGGTAAATCATCCGAATATAGTTGGATACAAGAATGCCTGGTTAGAACCATTTGTCGGAGAATACTCAGGTTCTAGTGATGAAACTCAGTCCTACACTTCTCCGTCCTGTCTAATCTCGTCCTCAACCTCAAGCTCGGAACAGGTTCCAATCTCTAAAAAACCCGCGACCTCCAGCATTTTACCTAAACCTCCCCAGGAGGAGTCCAGCATGTCAATCCAGTTCTGTGATTCTGAAACTGGATCCAGGTCCTACAATGCCAACTACACCGTAAGCTTTAGATCTTCAGAGTCCTCCATGGATACCAAGGAGAGGGTGGTCTGGAATAAGGAGTGGGAGGCCCTGGAGGAGGAATTAGATTGTGAAAACTCAGATTTCGGTGACAATCTCGGTAACATGAGAAATGATTTCAACTTTAAAGATGATCCTATCAGAAGTAGGGGGTAAGATATTTAAAATTTATGTTCGAGCCCGTTTCGTATCAAACTTACGTATTAGCATTGTCCGTCCTGGGGCGATATTTTGCCCCTAGATGTCTTGCGTAAGTTTCTTATTGATAGATAATGAAACCGGACACATCTAGCGGTATAATAATCCATCTCAAAAGTACGTCTTTAAGAAGACCATTAGTTTGATAAAGAACGGGCTTTGGAATTTTTAACAAAAAAGTTACAATATTTAATTTTAATTTAATTGATATGATTTTAGGGATTCAGAAAACATTAATTTTATCTCTAATCAGCACAAGAAAGTGACACTAGTCGAAACAATCGTAGAGATGACAGGTATGTAAGATGAGATAAGAAAAAGATCATGAAAGATCTCCGATGTGGAATCCCCTGACCGCCGTCCGAGTAAGGGTCTCAGTCAAGTGCTGATTCCCTTACCAGTTCAATTTAAAGGGACTGTTGACAATTCCTAATTCTCGACGATACTCTTTAAACATTGTTCTGAACAAAAATGGTGGGGAGGTTCTTATTTTTCTTCTTCTGAAAATAGACAGTTTTATGGCCTATTCATACATTTTCTTGGGTGTTTATTGTATTCAGTGAACAATAAATATTTAAGTAGTTTTAAGAAACCATGTTTAATTTATATTTAAGGTACTCCACCAGAATGGGATTCAGAAATAGAGCGGGTCATTGGTAAACCTCAAACTCCAATTTCTAAATCTACCCTTCATCATACAAATCCGGGAACAGACCATAAGAAAACCCGCGGAAAGTTCTGGGTCGGAGATCAGTCTAGTCAGGACGAAAACTCTTCGTCTGTCGTCTTCCTTCCATCTGGTCCAGGTTCAAGGAGGGAGTTGGTGGAGTATTCACCTAACAACTCTGCTCCCAAACTAGAAAGAGCAATCCTTTTCATACAGATGGAAGTTTGTACCATCACACTTAGGTAGAACTTCAGGGGTGTAAATTTTCTTGGCAAATTATTCTCAACCCCTCATTGAAATTCCCCCCCCCCCCCCCCCTGAAGTTAGGTATGAGTTTAGGATTTTTTTCGCGGTTTTTTTTGGGGGGGGGGGGAATGATTTTTAAAGGGAAATATATGATTTTTTTTGGGGGGTGGGGGGAGTATCCATAATGTTGTCCAATTTTACCCTTATTTATTAATATTCAGAAACGGGAAGGACTCATAATTTAAAAAAGCCGGTTTTTGATTTTTCTGTACTTTATCCAAAAAAGAGTGGATCAAGCAAGAAATCAAAAATGTCCACATTTGATATTCGGATTAAGCAGTCGGGATTAATGGTATCCCATTTTAAAGTTCCCAGCTCAGATCCCACTTTATATCAAACAAACCACTTTTTTGGCAAATTTGTTATTGATAAAAGCCGAAAAATAGATAAAACTACAAATAGAAATTATTTAAGGGTCTGGTTAGATGAGAGAAATGATAAATGGAGTGAAGGCTCATCCCTGAACATAGATGAGTGTTACAAGGTTTTCCATCAAATACTAAACGCTACAGCTTATCTTCACTCAAAAGGTATCATAAAATGGTAATAAATCTAGGGAAACTTTGTTATTTTTTAAATATCTCGCTCGATTACGAAAACGGTGCACATCTTTAAAGAAGTTCTTAATAAAAACTATTTTCTTTTATCGACTGATTTTAGCCCTTTTTGTTCAGTGATTGGTCGAGTATTTCCAAGGGTTATTTTATTATGAACATCGATCAATTTTGTAACTTTTTGTTGATAAATTGATTGATTATAACCATTGATTATTTGAAAATTATATAAATTGATATATTTTGGCCCTTGTTATTGCAAGATTATTGATTAATCGATTATTACCATGGGTTGCGTCAATAATATGATAAAACATCGATATATTTTGGCCCACTTTGTTTCCTGATTGATCAATGACTGCAAAGTGTTATTTTATTATGAACATTGATCAATTTTGTACCTTTTTTGTTGATTATTTGATTGAAGACTATTGCTTGCTAAGGAATACTGCACCGAGATATCAAACCAAGAAATATATTTCTCAACAATGCATTAGAGGTCAAACTAGGGGATTTTGGGCTAGCCAAGGTAAGATTATTTTTAAAAATTTACAATATTACATTTTAAAAAAAAATGTTAAGGATGTTTTGTTGCCAACTAGCAAGGAAAAAGAGGAATGGGATGTAGATCAAGGGAATGTTCCCGAAACACCATCAGAGATTAAAGACGCCAGTTTTCTTCCTAAACATATTCACACAGCTCATACATCAGGTATTAAACTAATGATCAGTTCAACCGTTTAAAGAACATTTCTATTTGATTAATATATAATTAACAAGGCTTTTAAATTTAAACTTTTATTGTGACTATCTGTGAGCATCTTCACTTTGTACATTGTATAATATAAAACAATAACGAACACAAAAGTTCGCGGATTTACTAATATTTTTTTCATGCATTTTCAAACTTTTTGACACAAATTTTTGTAATTTTGATCGTTCATAAACCTTCACTGGGGTTATGTGAGGTCCCACATAAAATTTGGGCCCCATCGGTTCAGCCGTGTTGACATTTTGGATACAAACAAACAGACAGACAGACAAACAAAGTATAAATATAGATAAATTAATTATAGGTGTTGGAACACAGCTCTATGCATCTCCAGAACAGCTAAAAACTTCACAGGAAATGCTTAATTATATTTATTAAGATTTGCCGCGTCTCATATTAATTTGCGCATTTTTCCGCTTGTCGTCCTTTTTTCGTATTTTTCACAACTTAGAGTTAATTTAGATTTTTTGTTTCGCTGACATTAATTTTTCAAAAAATCTTGTTTTGTTACCTAAAAAGGTAAAATTAAATGCTTAAAAATTGACCAATTGCTGCAAATAGGAATAAATTAGTCAAAATAAGTACATTTACTGAAACGAAACATCAACTGAAATGCGGGAACTGTTTAATAAAATGGATAAGCTCGAGGGTGAAATTAATTAGCATCCCAAAAATAAATCTTTCACCTTATTACTGGTTTAAAAATGACATTTTTTCCCTTCTTTGCATGTATTGAAAGATATAAAATCTTGAAAAAGATAACTTTGTAATTTTTTGCTAGTTTCTAACACTCGATCAGAAAATGTCCAAATCGCTGTTTGGAACTTATGCCCCCTGATTAAGCTTTGCTTCAGGTTTCCACAAGCAGTGACATGTACAGCCTTGGGATTGTACTCTTTGAACTTTTTCATCCGTTCTGCACTGATATGGAGAGGGTACGAACCCTGACAAGTCTACGGGAGAGAAGGTTGGAGAATACTAGACTGGAAGATGATATTCTTCAAACTGTTCTACAGCTCACACATCCTGAACCTGATAGACGACCCACAGCAGAGATGTTGCTTCAGGTACTGTTTGGATGGTTTTAGGGAGAGTGAGAAGATGTACAATGTACATGTACTACTTTGAACAGTGTTTTTGTAATACATTGAACCATATAAATGTACTACATTTAAAAATGCCTATGCACTGCATTGTGCTGTGTACATGTAATTGTACTTGATTGAACAATGTTTATGTAGGAGGGGGGAATATATTGAGACTATTAAGTATAGAGTGATGTTGTAGTTTTGTATTTTACTGTGACAGATTATCACAGTACTACTACTTTCATAAAAACAGGCGATTTTGAAGCCATCGAGATGATCGAGGCGGGGGGGGGTCTAGAAAAACCAAAGAAAAGGAACAAACGTTTTTTCATTTTACTAATTTATTCACTTTCTAGGGTTTATTCAGTAAACCAGAAGTAGAGAAGATGGAGCGAAATAAATTAGAAGAAGAGAATTTAAAACTTAAAGAGATTGTTAAACTGCAAGATCAACGGCTTCAAGAGAAGGTACATGATGATCATGATGATCATGATCGTGATTTATACAGTCATAAGCAGAAAGATCCGGATGATATCGACAGTTAATCAATCGACTTTTCATAAATATCTCTGGATATTTGCACAAAAAAGGCAGACCATAATTTGAATTCAGCAGGACTATTTCAAAAATAATATTTTGTTACTATCGTTTCATTAATCGAGTATAAAGCCGTCTGATTAATTTTATATTGTGTCCGGGTCTTTCTGATTATGACTGTACTTGAATCAATGTTTTGGTTTCCATGAATGATGGGTATATGGATCAAGTTTGGTCGTGGCTAGCAACTTCGCAATACTAAACTCAAACTTACAGCACGGTGGACTAAGCCAGTGGGGTCGGTCAAATAGGCCTAGGATTAGGCCGGGTACTGTAAAAGGTCTGAACGCGCCATGGGAGTTGTCATAGTTAGCCCTCCGACGGGATTATACCAAGAAATTTGACCACTGTCGGTATGTTAGTCTGGTCAGAGCGATGTACTGTGCCATAGGATCGGGTCAGTATAGGCTGTTATCTGGCAGGCCGGTAAAAACTGGTTCAAATTTAAATTTACTACGGCCCAGAGTGACAGGGTTACGGCTTAACAGTATTTACATATTCCCTTATATTTATGATTTTCAGCCACTTTACACTTGCTTTTCTTTTGTTCTAATCGTTGAATAAGCAGGGTGCCCAAAATGTACGGATTGTACGGATTTTTTTCAAATTGTACGGATTATACGGACTTTTCTCCTGAAAATACACCATTTTTTTAAATTTTCACTCATTTCAGCAAATTTTTCATGAAAATTTCAAAAACAATTCTCGTCAAAATTAACTTATTGTCTCCATTCTAAATAATATTAGATTGATTAATGTTTCAATTGACAATAAAAATTCATTAATAATTTTCTATATATGTCAGAGAAGTGTTCATTTGAGAATATGTTCCAGAAGTGTTCATTTGAGAATATGTTTATCTATCTGTCTATCTGTCTAGCTATCTGCCTAGCTTACTGTCTATCTATCTGTCTAGCTATCTGTCTAGCAATCTTTCTAGCTATATATCTAGCTATATGTCTAGCTATCTGTCTATCCATCTGTATATCTATCTGCATGTCAGTTTATCTATCTTTTTATCTATCTGTTTGTATATCCTATCTGTTTCTCTGTCTATTTATCTGTCTATCTATCTGTCTCTCTGTTTATCTATCTATCTAACTGTCTCTTTATCAGATCTGAGAACATCCTCTCAGGTTTCTTCCGTTTATCTGTAAATATTTTCATTTTTAGTTTAATATTAACTTTCTTTTAAATGAGTGTGCAACCCCTGTACCACGCTAATTTTAATTATAATAGATCCTAAATTTACACTCCACTCTAATTCACACCGATCTAAACAGTTTTAAAAATTAGAATCAACGCTCTTTAGTTCTCTAGTTCTCTGGTTCTCTGGTTCTCTGGTTATCTGGTTCTCTGGTTCTCTGGTTTTCTGGTTCTCTGGTTCTCTGGTTCTCTAGTTCTCTAGTTCTCTATTATTTAGTTCATTAGTTCTCTAGTTCTCTGGTTCTCTGGTTCTCTGGTTCTCTAGTTCTCTAGTTCTCTAGTTCTCTAGTTCTCTGGTTCTCTAGTTTTCTATTTTTCTAGTTTTCTAGTTCTCTGGTTCTCTGGTTCTCTGGTTCTCTTGCTCTCTAATTCTCTTGTTCTCTATTATCTAGTTCTCTAGTTCTCTAGTTCTCTAGTTTCCTAGTTCTCTAGTTCTCTATCATCTAGTTCAATAGTTTTCTAGTTCTCTGGTTCTCTAGTTTTCTGGTTCTCTGGTTCTCTTGTTCTCTTGTTCTCTGATTCTCTAGTTCTCTAGTTCTATAGTTCTCTAGTTCTCTAGTTCTCTAGTTCTCTAGTTCTCTAGTTCTCTAGTTCTCTAGTTCTAAGTTCTCTAGTTCTAAGTTCTCTTGTTCTCTTGTTCTCTAAATCTCAAGTTCTCTAGTTATCCAGCTCTCTAGTGTTTAATAGTAATGTTTAAGTTTTATATCTTTGCAACCTTATGAGGTAGACTTTTGTTATTATAAACTGTGAATTCTGCCAGATTAATTAGGTTTCGTTTCAAAAACCAAAGGTTTTCAGGTTGCAAAGCTAAATGGATTTTAAAATTGAGTTTCTTCAGTTGATCTTATTTTTTCATTATTTCCGGGTTCTCATCCAAGCATTCAAATACCTACAGTAGTTTTTACTACCAGGAATATAGTTTTTCAAAAATGGTTTTATTTTTCTTAAATGTACGGATTGCAGGGATTTTTTTCAAAAATTGTACTGATTGTACGGATTTTTAAAAAAATTTACGGATTGTACGGATTTTTTTTTCGAAAATTGTACGGATTGTACGGATTTTTAAAAAAATGTACGGATTGTACGGATTTTATTTTCGAAAATTGTACGGATTGTACGGATTTTTCTGAAAATGTACGGATTTTTTCAAAAAAGTTTTGGCCACCCAGAATAAGCCATAAAAAGATTCATGGCAAAAGATTTAACTTAAAATTGATTTGATTTGATATTTCTTTTTCTGTGTACAATTTTAATTAAAAATGGAAAGGAAACATTATTTAGGTTAATAAAATGTTTTTAAATTAATTCTAATTGATTTTAGGATAAGTTGCTGGAGACCCAGGAAGCTGAAATACTTCAGTTAAGAGAGAAGCTTTTGCAGCTCCAGGCTAGCTGATTCAACGCAAAGCTACAAATTAGCTCTGGCGTCTTAGAGATAATTGATGTGGAAGCTTCCGAGAAGCTGAAAGTGAGCTAAGAGAGCTTGACGAAAACTGATAAGCAGCTTTGATCTCGGAACGCTTTCAGAAAAATCTGACACGCTGATATTGTAGCTTCAGAAAAGCTTAAATTGAAATCGGAAATTACTTATACAGCAGCTTATATAGAAGCTTCCATTTATCTGAAAGAGCTCAATTAAACAAGTTCTGAATAGTAGGATTTAATCTTTTTTTTCACTTGAAATGAAAGAAATCAATGCCTAAATGTGTAAAGAAAGTACGGGATAACAAAATTTAATCAAATAATTCCCATCTTCTCATTTTTCATTTTGAATATTTGTTTTGAAAATCCTATTCAGTAGAAGAGGTTAAAGTCTGTACTAGCCAATCCTTGACATTTGTCGGGCATTTATGAAATTAAATTTATATCTTTTAAAGCGGTTCATGTTCTTCATTGAAAATATTTAAACTGTAGACCTGAAATAATTGTCAGGTAAAGCTCAATAGTTATTTACGTTGAATTTAATCTTCAATGAAGTGTTAACATAGTTAATAAGGTTTTTGTTTTTTGAAAAAAGTAAGAATTTCGCATTTATAAAACCAATTATTTTTAATGTTTGTTTTAACCTAAGTCAAAGATGATTTAAAAAATACCAAATTAGTTGTTTTAAAGTTTAAACCAAAGCATATAATCCACGAAATTACCACGTGCTGTGATCTCTCCGCCATCTTTAAATATTTCTATTTCCAGACTAAAATGTCACGATTTCGATCTGCTTTAGGTAAACATCTAAACTAATCAGAACGGCTGAATGTACTTACTGTTCACATCGCTAGGTAGGGCTGAGACTTTGTAAATTTTGGTTTGGGACATGAGTTTTAGTTTACAAAACAAGGGGAATTTTAGATAGTTTTTAAGAATTAGACTTCTAATTAATTTTCCAAATTAATGCCGCAAATTATTTCAAATCCGGTGTAAGTCGTCTTTAAAACTTTCACGTATCTTGGGAGATATTTATATTTTCAAATCGTTCTGGAAGATTTCATTTTTCTCCAGTCTTGAATTTGGTTGTTTGTTTGCAGTGTTGTTCAATTGTGTTCGAAGAAACGGAGTCTGGTCAGAACAGCTGAAAAAAGGAGTTCAGATTGGTAAGTTCAATCAAGGGAAGAAGGGCTGATAACTTAGTGCTCACATAAGGTTGTCATTTATGTAAAAAAATGTAATCAATTTTCAACGATAAAAAAATATGGATATTGAATTAATTTTTGATCGGACTAAGCTTTGAATGTACTGTTGTGAATCGGAGGTGTAACTCTTATGTATTGAGTTGCACTTGAAATTGCAGTACGGTCCCTTTAACTGAAGGAAGGGTTATTTTTTGCTTTTCTTAACCCTATCCCCGCTGGGGTACTTGAAAACCAGGATACGCTGGGGGGGGGGGGCAATTTGACCCCCCCCCCCCTCTAAATCCCATGTTTTATGTCCAAATATGACAAATGATACATCATTAGAAAGCTCTTGTGCTCTACTTTTAGAATCTGCAAAAAAATTTGCAAATTTCCCCCCCCAGCGGGAATAGGGTTAAGTTCAAACACAGGGATAAATTATCTAAATATTGTTACGGCCTTTGTTGATGAAGATCTTAAACTGTATGCAGAATTTGTAAGAATTGGAGGTTGGCAGGGGCACGTACTTTTAATTGTTATTATTTTTTATATTGCACTATTCAGAAATATTCAGAAATGCGTGCGATTAGAGATCATATCTTTTTTTTTTCGTGCCAATTTCTAGGACGTAGTATTTAACCAATAAATTATTTTTACTTCCGTTTGTGTAGCAGAAAATTCTTAAAAGCGGACATAATCTTTATTTTAGTGTTTCTTTTCTTACTTGTATATGTAGGAGGATTTAGTTCTGCTGGTGCAATAGTCTCCAGAATGGCGAGTACATGGAAGGAGAAAGATCCTGCTGAGAATGCTGATCCCGAGCTTCTAAACAAAGCAAGAGAAAATCCCAAAGGTGATTTTTCCCCCCTATTTCATAGAAATAAATTGTAAATGAATGTTGTCTTTGTTCTTCTTTTTTTCAATAAATGTCGGTACGGATTTTAAACTTAGCGATTGTTGCTTCTGACGTACTGATGTGTAGAGTATTTTTTAAAGAAAAATTCCTCGTTGCAAAGTCAAAGTAGTTCATAAGTTCATAGAAGATAGAAAAGTGTTTTAAAATGTTAATATGGTTCCAATATGATTTTGTTGGGGATCACTGTTAAAATTGCAAAATGATTAAGACTTGAAGCTTCTTAAATATCAGCTAGAAACAGTATTTTCAATGAATAATTATCAAATGATGGGAGCCTTTAGCATTAGTCAATCCTTACATCTCATGATTTTATCTGATTGTACGAACAAATATTAAAATTTTCAGTTCTTAAGATGAGATTATCCAATTGAACACATTTCTTACAATTGTATCATGACCTTTTTGCACTTAATCAGACTGTTGGTTTTTTGTTAACATTTCTTTTTTATACCTCTTAAACATTTACAGTCATAACAATTTATTAAGTCTGGTCCAATCCTTTAAAAACGTGAAGCATACCCGGGCTAAGATGTGATCACTATGATAGTATCTTACTAGTCAAGGGCATATTCAGGAATTTGTTCAGGGGGGGGGGACTCAGCACCCGTTGGGGTCTGAGAACCCCCTGATTATAGATTTCTCTAGACCAGGGGACTGAGCCCTCTGGCCTCTGTTACTATTCCCTGTGTTGCGTAATTGATTTGTATATTTTCTTTGAAACTCCAGGATAAAATGATAATTCTTATAAAATGACCCCCCCCCCCTGCGTTTTGTGAAAAGTCCGAATTGATATGATCGCTTTACTAAATAATGTTTCAACTATCACGGAAATGCGCTATTAATTTTGTGTAAATCCGCCATAAATGTCTTGGGAGAAAATGAAAGCTTCAGTATTTTTTCATCCTGGTCGTTGGCACTGCTAACATCGTAATCTTTACACTTGATTACTTCTCTCTTCGATTTGATCTAATGGATCCCGCCGTTTTTGATAATTGTGGAGGTTCTGTCAACCTCATTGGTTGAATTCTCTCGTTCTATATTCTCCAGAATATCACGCGGCTTTTTATGAAAAGGGGTTTATCACAGATGATATACATTCTGGGGGAAATAAATGGTCAATAATCCTTTTTTCATAAAATGCAAGTAAGTGCAACCGAACAAAGATGTGAGTGATCACTTTTCACTTATCATCAAACAAAACAAAGAGTGATCATCAAGGTTTTTTAGTAATGTTGCAATTACTCTGGATACTGGATGTGTCGTCTCCAAATCAATAAACAGTTAAAATCCGCCACAATTTATGGTGCAGTGTGCCGAGAAAGACGGTTTACGGGCACGAAATGAGACCGGTCCTAGCACCCACAAACCGTCTCCTTAAGCACACTGCCTGTTTTGGTTAAAAAAAAGTGGCGTCAGTGCAACCGAGTAAAGATGTTCAGGGGGTGATCACTAAACATTCTTTTTATTTTGTTATAATAAAGTGGCGTCAGAGCAATGTTTTGAAATGTGTAGATATGAAAGAAGATGATTGGGCTCAACTTCTTACCAGCATGCAGTATCAGGTTTGCGATTTATAAATATGGTACATAAATAAAAATTGTTCATATCTGTAAAATGCATAAGTCACTTTTGTAGAAAGGCTAGAATTAAAACAATCAGTTTTTAAAACTGTCAAGGATGATATCTCATTACTTTCCGATTGGACCTAGCTTTAAAGGATACCTTTGTAAATCTTTCATTTTAATGTTTGTTTTTCCCTTAAAAAATAATCTAAAATTTCATCTAAATAATGGTGTTATATCTAACTTTTAATCTTCACAAATGACTGTTAATTAGAACTATCTTCGAATGATGTTCATTATAACTCGGAGTACATTCATTACCAACAAAAAATGCTATTCAAATATGCTTAGTACAATTTCGTTTTTTATATAATGAGGACATCATTAAAAATAAACCAGACAAATATTATTTATATAAACACTTTTTGCTTCTTCTCTCGTTAAATGACACTTAAACGAGAGAAACACTCTATCTGACCAGTGAACACGTGCCTCAAACTCGAATTTTCAAATCCTTATATCTTTACAACCTGATGATGGTATAATTCTTTGAGATTTATTTAACGATAAATCATATTGAGATTTTACTTAGAATTTATTTCGGAAGGTATTTTGTTAATTCTTTAAATATTTTTTACAACTTCCCCCCCCCCCAAAAAAAAAAAATGTTCGCGTTTTTTTCGAGATTCAGAATTTCTTGTATTATGAAGGTAGCTCGAGGACATGGAACAGAAAGAGCATGGACAGGACTTTACAACGATAACAAAGAAAAAGGTCTCAACATTTTTCTAAAACTCAAAATTAGAAAAATATATAAATTGTTGAAACATTCATTTATTCATTCCCTTTCATTTTTGCATTCTATCATCCTGTTATTTATTCATTCATTAGTCATTTACGCATGCATTTTTTATTTATTTATTTGTTAATTTATTTATTCAGTTAATAGTTCATTAATTCTTTCATTCATTTATTCATTCATCTTGCCAGTCGTTTACTCATTCAAAATCATACATTTATTTATTTAATTGTTGATTCATTCTTTCATTCATCCATTCTTTTATTCATTTGTTTATTTTTTCATTTATGTATTTATTTAATTGTTCATTTATCTTTCATTCATTTATTTATTTTATTTATCTTTTCATTCATTTATTCATACTTTCATACATTTATTTAATCATTCATTCTAGTTTTTTTATTTGTTTTTTAGGAATGTATAAATGTGTTTGCTGCAACGCTGACCTTTTTCCATCAAATTACAAATTTGATTCGGGCTCCGGTTGGCCTTCTTTTTATGATACCTTAAAAATTGTAAGTACTCAAATTTTTCTAAACTTTTTTCTGCGTTTTTTCTGGAAAAGAAATGCATGATTTCGATTTTTTTTTTTTAAATTACTTATTCACCCAATCCTGAATACACATAGAAAAAGTGCGGTTTTTTATGTATCCATTTTTTAAAGACTTTCAATCCTGTTGTATCAAGTACATGATTACTCAAGAAGTGTGACTATAAAGACGACTTAAAACTCATAAAATATGTCAATTTCAAGGTTGATTTAAGTCTGCTATCCTGAATAATAGTATTGACTGATAATGACTTGTTTAATGATTTGCCAACGAAAGAAAAGTTACATGGAATCGTGAATTTAAGAAAACAGACAGTATAAATTCCTTACAGTCATCTCTGAAGTCTCATCCATTGTGGGTAACCCTGATACTTACAGAAAACTTTTCGTAATTTTTAAAAATATAATTAATTTTAACGTTGTCAGGATAAGAGTGATAATATTGAGCGCATTACGGACAACAGTCACGGTATGTCGCGCACTGAAGTTAGATGTAAGCGCTGTGACGCACATCTGGGTCATGTGTTCAATGTAAGTAGTACTTTTATTTTGAATTCATATTTATGATATATAAGATTCAATGATTTTACATTCGATTCTTACTAACACGATCTCATGATTAAGTATTTTTATTCTTAAATGTTCTGTTAGTTATGAATTGAGATAAAAATTTCATTGTTAATAATAATGAAATTACTTTTTTTCTAAGAGATTTAGCCAATATTAATCGTATGAAAGAAAGAATGAATGTGATGTCCTTGATAGATTACAATGCACCTTTTTTGAAAGGATGAATAAATGAAATATATCCCTTGACTGAAGAATATGGTTAGGATGAATGAATCAAAGGAAGGGAGGAAGGAAGAATGGATGAATGAAAGGATAAATGAAAGAAAGGATGAATGAATGAATGAATGAATGAATGAATGAATGAATGAATGAAAGGATGAAAGGATGAAAGGATGAAAGGTTGAATGAATGAATGAATGAAAGGATGAACTAATGAACGAATGAATAGGATGGTCCTGGACCCACTGGTCTGCGCTACTGTATCAACAGCGCCTCCTTGAACTTCGAGGGAGAGAACAAGGAGAAGAAGGAGAAAGAGGAATTATAATGGAAAGGATGATAAGGGGAACCATAAAGAAGTCAAGCGGGCAGCTGTTAAATCGACGCATCACACTTTTAATTTGATTTTAGTCCATTTGTTATTTTGTTTAATTAATTATTATTTCCGAGATCATGAATTTTTCTTTAATATCTACTCTCATACCCTCCTCCCTTTATCTCGAGTTCCTTAATAACTTAATTGTTTTTCATTGAGACTCTTTCCAACTAATTGTACAATTACACTTATCCAAAATTTCCGTACTGCAAGTAATTATGTGAATTAGTAAGAAGAATTAAAATTCTATTAATATTTAACCTTGAAAACGAATCAGAATAAAATGGCGGACCGAGAGAAAATGGCGGCATTTGAACGGATATTCAAAACAATGGCGGAGAATTTGCGAAATTTTAAAGATCAGCTGAGGAAAACCAGTTTATTAGTTGTTATTTTCAACAAATAATGATAAAAAAATCCTATTTGAAAAAACATGTTTAATTTGCTACTTAAAAGGACATACGACGAAATTTTAATTGACCCGCCATTTAAAGAGCAGCTTTTGAACCTAGTATTTATAGAGGAAGAGAAAATTTTGTTCTATCAAGAAAATGGGTAAATTTTGATAATTTATTATTCCATTGTGTATCGGACATGACTTTCTCCAAATAGAGGTTCCCTAGAAATCACGTTAACTGTCACTTAAACTATTCATTACTTGAGTCTTAGAATTATTGTACATTGGTTTGATTGTCTAGTATAGTGGAGGAGACTGATACAAGCAATACTAACTTTAATCCTCAACAGTTCTGGGAGAAAACTCTTCAAATAGCCGACAAGGAAATCATTTTAATCAATTACCTAATTAACAGTGACTAGAAAATTTTATTATTTCTTGGCAATGAAATAATTTAATATTTTGCATTTGACTAATTACTTTTCTATAAAAACTAGGAAATTAGTTATTAAAATTATTTGAATAGTTAGGATATGAGACTAATAAGATTACTATTCTATGGATATCAGACCCACTTCCAACCCCTGAAGATATGCACTCAGTGTGTGGTTCTTTAGGTAGGTTTTTATCTACTCATTAATGTCGTCTTTTCAAAAATCATTTGATACGAAGATAAACGTATGTAAAGGTTTTAATTTGTATTCCAATAAATATATCGGCAACTTTTAAAATATAGCTTTTAACGTTGTGTTGAAATGGTTATACATTATACAACCATGTTATAAGAATTGATGTACGACACCCCCCCCCCCCCCGCCTTAGACACCAACCCTAGCCCTAACTGTCATCTTCTTTTATATTGCTTAGATTTCAAGCTTGGAGTCGTTTTCAAGGAATTTTTATTAAAGTTTTCTCCGAGAATTTGAATTCTTTATATAATCTGTCTTCAATACAGGCCTAGCCTCCCTAGCTAGAGGGGTTTCATTATGAAAGAAGGGATTTTAGTTCTGTTAGGAAACATAATTCAGAAACATGGTTTGGGGCCTTATAGGATTATTTAAAGGATTCTGCACGGGGATATCACATTTACGTTGTCTGTAAGTTTAATGATGATAATTATAATGATAACCTCGATATCACAAATTCTTGGATGACTTGCGTACTTTTTGTTCATTATTTTTTACTCAATAAACTTAGCATTCCATGTTTTTTTTTTCTTGACATCTTAGCAACAAGAACGTTTAATAGATTTCATTAAACAAGCTGATGTAGATCCGGGTTTTATAGCTGGGAAAGATCCGGAAATAGCTGTCAAAGATCCGGATCTTTAAAGATCATATAAATCCGGATCTTTGAAGTTGATACAGATCCTGATCTAAGTAGCCAGGAAAGATCTGGACTTTGGTTGTTTAAAGAGATCCGGAATCCGGATCTTGGTTACTCATACAAATCCGAATCTAGGTTGCTGTAAAGAGCCGGATATTTTAAGTTCATTAAGAAATGGATCTTGGTAGTAGAGAAGATCCGGTTCTTGGGAGCAAAGTAAGATCTAGGTATCTGAAACACTACAAATCTACATCATGGTTAAATTTTAATTTTGTTATTAGAGATAGCATGTGTTGCCCTCATGAATATGTTCCACAGCTACCCCTCCGCCCAGGGCAGGATGGTGAAGTCCAAGCTGAAGAACGGGGTGGGAGACATCCTCGACAACTGTTCCCGGTTCACAGCTGTCCTTCTTAATAGTATTGGGGTCAAATACAATAAAGACAGCCATCCTTTAGGAAAGGGACAAACTGTTAAACCTAAAAAATGTCTGGACTACATATTCATTCCTTATTCCACACAATATTGTGGACTATGCAAAATTCTTATCGGGATTTTCTGTAATGGATTTTTTGACAAAATTTTGAAAACTTTCCTATTAAGCGTGGTGTAAGACATATTAAAAACTCGCAAAAAAAGTTTTTCATTGTATAAAATAAATCTAAAATTATGACAAAAAAATTTCGCCAGATAAAAAAGTTATTACCCCTGGTTTGGTAGTGAGTGAGTGTGGGATGGTAACGGCGGAGTGTGAACGATTGAACCAGCTGCCTAGAGATAATAGATCCGCCTGTATTCTCTATCTCAGGGCGGAGGCAAATATTATCAAAGATGCCCTCAGGTTAAAGCTTAGATACGTAATAATGATAATGATAATTTTATTAACTACTGTTATTTCTAATATTTAAGATAACATATTTCTAGAGAATAATTTTAAAAAAAAATATGTTGAGATATAAATCAGCTTAACTTTAGATAAATTTTAAAGAAGTAAATGTTCTCTCGTTAGATTTAAACAAGAATTTTTCTTTATGATCAAGTTCTACGGATTATGCCCCTCATTCTCTAAATTTCCAATCTTTATATCTTTGCAACCTTAAGATTAAAACCTTAACATTTAAAACTAATTTGTCCCTGATGTACGAACTTTCCAGAAGAAATTCTGTTTCAGTATTTTGTTCGGAATGTATATTGTATACCGTATAGCATAAACAAAATTATACTGTGAACCATCAAAGACCTGCGACGTCAGATTGCAAAGATAGAAAGATTAGAACTTTCAAGTTTGAGACGAGTAATCACCCTGTTTCAAACTTGTCTTTATACAACTACTAGCTTGGGAACACAGCGCTCCCCAGGTTACTAAAAGTTTCTCCCGCCGTTTACCCGCACTTAAAAGAATTTACCGGGGAACTACATTTTTCCTATTTAAGTCGACCTACTCAACTTATAATCTCAAAACCAATCTAAGTACATTTCCGAGGGTCTCCCGAGTTCCCTAATAAAAATTTGAGGCAATTCGGTTAAGGGGTTCCCGAGTTATGATCGGACATACAAACAGAGATTACAACTTAATATATATATATAGATACATTAAGCCAAGCCATGCTTTTAGAGAAAACTTTTGAAGAATGAGCTTAAACCTATTTTTGATGCAGGGAGATCGAGGAGGCTCGAACTAATGAAGGATTTCTTGATGAATTTGAATGTGATGAATCTTGGACAGAAGCGGACAATCTTATTATTCAACCTTTGCTAGGTAAGGGCACTTACATCCTGACTGTTGTATCAATTTTCTAGACCGGGTCAACTTTAAAGTGTTGCAACGCCTTGCCTCACGTACTTACTTGTACTTTTTTGTCGCCCTAGACAAGTACATTTTAGAACTATGAACTATAAAGAAGTTATTTGCAAAATCATTCCCGATTTTTGCTTGAGAGCTTACAATCTTTGAAGGAGGCACTATAGTTCTGTTCGCCTAATTCTGTTGCATAAAACGCACATGGGTCAACCACATACTGGGTACACTAGACGGGCTGGTACGAGTAAACACTATCACAGGCAAACCTTGTACTGGTTCGGATCATGTAAACCTTGTACTGGTTCGGATCATGTAAACCTTGTACTGGTTCGGATCATGTAAAGATCTAATGTCAAAGTCTGAATCATTTAAATAAAATGTCAATGTTTAAGTACGATTTATTTAAATGCTATGCCTTGTTTAAGGTACTCCCCACATCAGGGAAACCTCGTCATTTCTGCAACTTTTTCTCAGTGTACATTATTTTAACTCCTCTTAATTTCTATGGTTAATGGGACATCCAGCTTAATGCATATTAAATACACAAAATATATAATAGGATTTTCATATATAACCCCTCCCCTACCTTGTTATATCACATTAAACATAATCTTATTCACTCTCTTCTGTTCTAATATTCAGATAAAGGTATCATTAAAAGCTTAATCTGATCAAGAATGAATTTGATATCAATGTTTATAATTTTGAAAACTGATTATTTTCAATCAATGTGGGGTTTTCTAACAAATGAGATTTACACATTTCTACGGCTAAAAATATAGGAATTATCAGAGTTAACACTAAAATCTTACCGTGGTTTCAAGGGTATCGTTGTGAATCTGATATCCCATATTTGCGTGGAGGGTTACTTGCAAATACGCTTACAGTCCCTTTAAGCAAGGGCATTTTATTTTAGTTTAATCCGGTTTGATCTGGTTCGGAGTCAGATTTCTTGATAATTATTAAAATGCTTTAATATGAAGACATGACATTTTCTCTCTGCTCACTAATTTAACATTTCTTGAAATTCATCAAGTGTACTTTGCCCAAGTAATAATATTTCAATACATGTTTATTGTTTATCACATAAAAAATTGTATTTGATTTTTTTTCACAAATGAAAGCATCCATCACTATCAGACTATCACGAGAATAAAGTGGATCAGCGTTTCCAACGAAAAAGATATCCCCCAAATAATTTTGTATTGCTTAACTGTTGGGAACATATTTGTGTCTTTGGCTTTTTCTTCCGTTTCTTGCGTAATAAAGCGGATGCACAAAGCTTGTAATTTTTAGATTTCCAAAGCTTCAGTTGCCTTCCATATTATATCACTCAGTATGTATTGTATATAGGTATGATTAAAACCTCTGGTGCACTTACTAAGAAGACTCTGGATGCTGTCAAAGAACTAAAGGATGAAGATCAAACTAAATTTGATGACGTAATACATCAGTTCTCAAGGTAACCTGAGCTAAAAACTTCAGAATGGTGAATATCGAGATAAATGATTGATCCTCTTTTTTTCTAATCTACAGATTAAGTTAGTCTTTAGATTGATTTCTATAGATTAGAGATGGGCTTTTTAACTTTTGACAAACCGGTTTTTAATTTTGCCGCATTTGTGGTATCATATCAATTGGACTAATGATTGACTGAACGAACGTAAGTTTTGAATTAATGTTTATCAAGACTAATGTTCAAAAGTATATATAGTCCTCAAACATGATTAACTATATTTGTTAAAATTCTCTGAAAGTCGGTTTGTGAACAACTAACTTTAGTTCAATCGGATATTAGTCCAATAGTGATAGCATCGTATTAGAATTTGTAATTTTTATTTTTATTACATGTAGTTGGAAATGTAATATCCATTAAAGGGGAAATTAGTTCTAAAACTAACACTTAGCCCATTTCTAACACTGAGTTTTAGAAATGGGCCAGATCTGAAAGTTATGTTTTTCAAGCGGTATATATCTTTAAATCCAATCCGAGTTGAACAAGACTACACCATACATCTATATATAAAGGAGTTGGTCACTCAGCACCAAAGGGGTATATCTTTCTTACAGATCATTATTTTTACATCTAGTTTTTTCTAAAGTAAGTCCAGTATATCCCTGAATGGTGTTCTGGCCAGGATGTACCTTGAAAAGTGCAGGGGCGCAAACTGT